GAAAACAGGAATCTATAAGCTTATCCAGGCAAAAAGCTACCTAAGTATCGAATTTTAAGCAAATCGGACCATAAATTCGATTTCTTCGAATAGATCGGTCCCTGGTCTACTGCTCGGAAAACATGAATCATATATGCTAATATATGCTAAAAAACTACCTACGTACCGAATTTTAAGCAAGCCGGACCGTAAATACTGGTCCACTTCTCAGAAAAAATGGATCATGTATGCTAATATGTGCTAAAACGCTACCTACGTACCGAAATTTAAGCAAATCGGACCGTAAATACGATTTTTTCGAATAGATCGGTCTCTGGTCCACTTCTCGGAAAAAATGGATCATATATGCTAATATATGCTAAAAAGCTACCTGCGTACCGAATTTTAAGCAAATCGGACCGTAAATACGTATTTTAGAAATATATCGACTTCAGCGCCACCTATCGACATTAGTTTTGTTCTATAACACTCCCAGTGATTATATGCACCTATCGTAAAAATTTCATTAAAATCGGTTGGGTACTTTTGACGCCTATAAAGGACATACAGACAAACATTCATTTTTATATATATATAAGAACCAAAAATATTAATTGATATGGCTGATATTCAAAATGTTCCAGTAGAAACTGAGTCTCCATATGAGAAGGTAATGAAAAAACTGGAGTAAGTATTTTAGTTAGTTAATAAAAATTTGAGAGACATTTGCTCAAATTTTAGAAATATTATATATTTGAAAAGCAACAACTACTTTCTAAAAAAAAGAAATTAAATTCTCTACATAATTAAAAATGAATTGTACATAATTTTAAAATTTCAATTTTACATCAGGTTTTAGCAATATATCTGCAGAAGTGGAAAACATAAAAAAAAAATAATAAAGAGCTTCAAAAAAAAGTTAATGAGGTTCTTCAGCTTCTTAAAAGTTCGATTGATACAACTGACACGTTGTACGAACTTTTACCTGGTTTCCCAAAGGAAACTCTGGAAGAATTCAAGAAATTGGAAGAAAAGGAAAACGAGGACGCCCGTAAAAAACTTGTAAGAATCATTTATAGCTGAAATACAATGCCGGCGAACGGCGAACTCACCACAGCGAAATTCGCGCTGTCAAAATTAGAACACCCGCAAGCATATGAAATTGAACACAGCCAAAGCGAAATGCGAAGTTCGCTTGGCGGCGTTTCATGGCGATAGATTTATTTCTATCGCCCTACTGGGCGATGACAACTGTGTGTTCCAAAGGTGGCCGTATTTCTTTTTTGCTTTCAAAGTTTTAAAAGAAAACAACCTAAACATAATTTTTTTTTGTTGTTTGAAAAATATAGTTGTGGATTCGTTAAATCTGGCTTGAAACAAATTATTTATAATAATCTTTCTTTGGTTTACATTTATATTTGTTATCATTTCCTCATTTCTAAATATGGTCACCCAAATTATAAAGGCGACCAAATGGGATCAGCTGTTTTCGCTACCGCTCTAATTCTGTTTAAGTAGGCGAAATAGCTGGGCGAACGGTGAACGACAGCATCGCCCAATTCGGCGAAGTTTGCCGTTCGCCGGTATTGTATTTCAAGCATTACACTTATAAATTATAAAAAAAAAATACCTGTTATAATATATGAACGGTTTTAACTTATATACATACATACATACTTATGTATATGAATATATAATTCTTTTTTGCAGCACGATCATTTGCTACGCCTAGGAGGAAGTAAATTAAAAGAATTTTTAAGTTGTAGTTTAAAGGCTGCAATGTCAGATGAGCTTGTTTCAAAGTTTACTTGGCACAAGCAATAGGAGACCGAGCAGCTAGGAAATACGAGACTGTCCAAAATATTGTACCGTGAATATGAAATGCTATTTCTAAGAAACTAATCAATTTACAGTGCTACGACTCCGCTCTTAATAAAATGTATATGTATATATAAAAATGAATGTTTGTCTGTATGTCCTTTATAGGTGTCAAAAGTACCCAACCGATTTTAATGAAATTTTTACGGTAGGTGCATATAATCACTGGGAGTTTTACAGAACAAAACTAATGTCGATAGGTGGCGCTGAAGTCGATATATTTCTAAAATACGTATTTACGGTCCGATTTGCTTAAAATTCGGTACGCAGGTGGCTTTTTAGCATATATTAGCATACATGATTCATTCTTTCTGAGAAGTGGACCAGAGACCGATCTATTCGAAAAAATCGTATTTACGGTCCGGCTTGCTTAAAATTCGATACGTAGGTAGTTTTTTAGCATATATTAGCATATATGATCCATGTTTTCCGAGAAGTGGACCAGGGACCCATCTATTCGAAGAAATCGAATTTATGGTCCGATTTGCTTCAAATTCGGTACTTAGGTAGCTTTTTGCCTGGATAAGCTTATAGATTCCTGTTTTC